AAAAAAAAAAAAAAAAAGGTTCCCCTGAGGTGGGTGCGGCCTTGTCGTGGCTCAGGGGCTCACCCCGGGGTCCGTAAAGGGCCCCGAGGTGCTAACAGCACCCAGTACGGCGCTTCCCGTTAGATAGGGAGGTGCTGTACCATGGGGGGATCTATCCCCTCGGTGGAGGTCATTCCCTGGGATGAGAAGTCTGCCGTCGTTCGTTCGGGTTTAGGCCCATCATCGGATCGGGCGACGGTGGATTTTGCGAGAGAGTTTGGTTGTCCGTGGATGTGACGGGCGATTGCTGCTGTGTGGGAGGATGTTGTGTCTTTGGTGTGTTCCTCGTGACGGTGTGCTGATGGCTCATGGTGTGGGTATGTGTATTTTTTGGGGGTCTTGATATTACCTGGGAGCCTTGGTGATTATGACAGGTGTCTCCCCCCTGCACATTCGGGCGTATGCCCACCATCGGTTTGTGCAGGAGGGGGGGCATGGTTTTGGGGAATTTGGTGTGATCCTCGTGACGGCGTACTGGTGTGCCGCCTTTATCATGGGACTATGTTGGTGGCTGCGTTTGTCCATTTGCGTAGGTATTTGTGCTTGGGGGTCGCGATGTTTTCGGCGAGCGTTGGTGACTACGCGAGGTGTCTCCCCTCTGCGCATTCGGGCTTATGCCCATCTGTGCGGGGGGGTGCATGGTTTCGGGGGGATCGTGCGGGATTACCCTTGGTGGAGGCTAAGTGGTTGTGGTGTTTTTTGACGGGTCTTTGCGGCCGACTGGACGTTTCTGGTGCTGGGTGCATGGTCCTGGGTCCCTTGGTCTTGCTGGGGGCGGGGGTGGGTGCGTCGGGGGGGCCTTATCTGCCCCGCGCGGCAGAGAGCGCTGTTATGAGGCGCGCTCTCGGCGTGCCTGCCTTCGGCCCCTGGGGAGGTCGGGGGATGACGGTGGTCTTGTGGATGCTCGGTCCTCTCGCGACAGCGTCCCTTCCGAAGCGGGGGACTGGGTGGCGCGTGCAATGCTGGTTGCCATGGCGAGGAGGGTGCGGAGGGGGCGCCGCCTTCGTTGCCCGAGTCGTCCATGGGGCCCCCTGGGTGGCTCCACCTGTATCGGTGCCTTTCGTGTCGGAGCGGGGGGACCCCTGAAAACTCCAGGCATTGCACTACAGCCTGGATGAGTAGGGGGCTGGAGTCCAGTGTCCCTGATGATTATGCCGGGGACCAGTGGCATAGCGCCTCTTCCCGGGGGAACTCGGGGCCTCGCCTGGAGACAGGCGGGGAGGGTATACCCTGGAGGGTAAGCCGGTACGGGGAATGGGATAAACGAAATGACAAATCTTTATAAAAAGGGGGGGGTTTTAGCAGATCAGAGGGAGGTTATGGATGTGGAGGACGACAGAGATTCGCCAATGGGAGGAGGCGAGACAGCGGGTGGGGGGGCTAATGAGGGACCTTCCTCATCTCTATTCACTAAGCCCGGCCTGGAGCCGCGCAAAGGTAGGTCCAAGGATAGCGCCTTACTGCTTAATGAGGACTTAATTTGGAGTTGTCTTCGGACGAGGGGGATTCGGCTGCTCTCTCGATTGCGGGAAGTTCGGTACACGGGGAGGGTTCGGAGGTTTCATCTCCTCCCGAGAAGAGTGCGTATCTCAAATCGGGCTCCCAGGCTTCTGGCAGCTCTAGGAAAAGGGACAGGACTGGCTCTATCGAATCGGGCGACAGGACTACTGGGTATTACGTGGGAAGGCGTAGAGAGATAGAGAGGCTCAACGCTGAGAAGAAGAAGGCTCTCAAGTTGGATCGAGAGAAGGTTATAAGAGCCTATAGTCACATAGAGCTCCTTAAAAAGGCGAAGATCAACGTGGAGGAGATCAAGTCTAAGGTTGACCATTTTTCCAAGGAGGAGTTAGTTAGACGAGCGAACGCGAATATGGAGGAGGTCCTGAGAATAGCTAGGTCCTCTACTAATTTGAAGGGATCTTTCCAGGGTGGTTTGAAGACTGCGGCAGCGGTGACCCTGGGGATTATATCGGTCCTGAAGGATAGGGTATCGATGTCCCAGGAGGAGGTACACCTTGAGGAGGTTAGGTCATTGAAACGGGAGGTAAACGTTCTTCGACAGAAATTGGAGACGGAGGTGGAGTCTGAGAGAAGGAAGGCTCTTGAGTCCGCTGGGGAGGCGGAGGCGTACCGCTCCCAGCTGGAGTTGACGAAGAAGGAGTTGGCCAACAAGGAATTGGCGAAGAAGAGTCCGAGTAAGAGAACTCCATCCGCGAAGTTTAGGGCCTCTAGGGCCGCTTACACGTCTGACTCCGAGGTCATGCAGGTAGACGACTTGCAGCCGAGGGTGGTCTTGGATCCCCCTGATAAATGGCCGGTGGCTTCGATTCCTCTGGAGGGCGGGAGAGTCCGGATCGTGAAGGAAGATCCCAAGTTGCAGAAGAGAATATACGAGGAGAACATTAGATATCTGAAGGAGAGGGAGGCCTCTCAAATGAAGAACGGTAAAACTCAGACTTCCAAGGGTCCTGCGTCGAATAGGAGAGATGAGAGGATTCCCCCGGGAGAATCCCCACGAGCCATAGCTGATATGATCAGGGAGATCGTGGCGGAGGAGATCGGGAAGGCGCTCGGTAAACCCGTTGTTAGGGAGAAACCTCGAATCACGAAAGTCGAGGTGATTAAGCCAGCTAAGACGGTTAGTCACGAAAGGAGCGGCGGTTTGGCTAACGCTGGCAAAAGTGAGGGTGCGAATACCGTGCTGGGTTCTGAGAGGTGGTCGTCGGTAGTCGGTCGACGATCCAAGCAGAGTGGCGCGGCGTCCTCGACTCCCAAGAAGAAGGCGGGTCCTAACCTCTCAGTTAGTCAGCAAGGGAGGAAGGCGGTTGTACAGCGTAGAGCCCCGCGTATGGCTGCTATTCAAATCAGCTGTAGAGGAGACATCTCGCACGCGCAGGTTATGTCCATTGCGAAGCAAAGGGTGGACATTGGAGCTTTGGGCATCGAGGACATAAGACCCAGGAAGGCCAGGACGGGGGCCTTGCTGTTGGAAATACCGGGTAAGGAAGGTCAGAGGAAGGCGGACTCCCTGGCTGTCGAGATGAGGAGAGCGTTGCAGGATCACGAGGACGTCCTGATATCGAGGCCGGAGAAGATGGTGGAACTACGACTCCGAGATCTGGAGGCCTCTGTCTCGGCGGACGATGTCAGGAGCAGGGTTGTGGAGTTAACGGGCTGTGACTCGAACAGCGTCAAGGTAGGGGAGATAAACATATCTTTTAATGGTTTGGGTACTCTCTGGCTGCGCTGTCCTGTTGTGGCGGCTAACAAACTTGCGAAGGAGAGGCGTATTAGGATCGGATGGACGATGGTGAGGGTTGATATGCTTCCCGATCGTCCTTTGCAATGCTACCGTTGCCTGGAGGTGGGTCATGTTCGTTCTCAGTGCAGAGGACCTGTGGACCGTAGTGATAGGTGTTATCGGTGTAGTGGAGTAGGACATATCGCTAAGAATTGCCTCCTTGATGCCTTTTGCGCGATATGCGAGGATAGGGGTTTCAGAGCTGATCACAGGGTGGGTAGCTCCGTGTGCAAGCCAGGTACTGGGAGGGTACTGCCTGCTCGTTCGGTGCGACCGGCGGCTCGTGCAGCGGATAATTCTGTCCCCATGGAGGGGGATAACAACAAGGATAGGGAAAAGAGAACTATGGAGAAGGTTCTTGCCACTGGACGGGAGAAAGCGGCTCCAATGGAAACGGCAATGGAGATTGAGGTGGTTTCAGATGTGCGGGATTCTGGGGGTAGCGCCCCTGGGGACTGGTCGCATACTGGTGACGCGTGGGGGGTTGTTCACTCGGGTGATCCGCCCATCGAGGTGGAGAAAGGAGCTGGAGGAGCTCCTCACTGCCCTGAAAATGCGTAGTAGGATCCTACAGATCAATTTAAATCATGCGAGGGATGCCCACGACTTGCTGATGCATCGCATGGACGAGGGAGATTTCGCTCTCGCGATAATATCCGAGCCGTATATTATCCCGGAAAACCATCCGCATTGGTGGTGCAACGACGAGAAATCGGTCGCGTTTATGTGGAGAAGATCGTCCAGTCCCTTTCCCTGTGTTCCTAAGGGGAAGGGTAGACATCACGCGATGGTTAAATGGGGTGACGTTACCGTGATAGGTGTGTACTTTCCGCCGAGTCTCGGCCTGGCTGATTTCGAGCAGGCCTTGACGGACTTGGAGAGGTTGGTGCTTTTACATTATGAGGGCCCTTTTCTGTTGGCTGGGGACTTCAATGCCAAGGCTGGCATGTGGGAGTTTCCGGTAATAGACGCTAGAGGCAGGTCTCTGGCTGAGTGGGTCTCAGCCCTGGGCCTTATATGCCTTAATCACGGAGGAGTGAGCACTTGCTCCCGAGAGACTGGTGAATCCATCGTCGATCTGTCCTTCGCGAGTCGACGATTGGAACGTAGGATCAGTGAGTGGAAGGTGTCTTTGATCGAGAGTAGATCTGATCATAGGTATATAGAGTTACGGGTAGATTATTCGGTGGCTCAGAGAGCGAGATGGGCAGTTACCGAGCATAAAAGATGGTCGGTCAAGAGGATGGATCTGGATGACATGCGGGCTGCGATCTCGGTGGCCTTCTGGCCTGACTGGGGCCCACCTGGTGATTGGGATCTGGAGATTAAGGTGGGTAAGCTCCAGGAGGTAATGGAGTTATGTTGCGATGTCGCGATGCCTCGAGTACGCAGTTGTCCTAGGAGAGCCGTTCCGTGGTGGAGCCAAGAACTGAAGGACCTCAGGAGTTCGTGTTCCGCAGCAAGAAGGAGACTGAAGAGGTCCAGAAGATCTGCGGGCGTCGAGGATCCGGTGGAGACTGAAAATCGTCTCAGGGAATATCGACTCTGCAGGGATCTCTTCAGTAGAGCGATTCGAAAGGCCAAAGCGGAGGCATGGGAAGTATTCGTGAAGACTCTGGACGAGGATCCTTGGGGTCGACCGTATTTAACGGTTATGGGCAAGTTGCGCAGGTGGAGTCCGCCATTTACGGAGTCTCTGTCGGAGGCTACTTTGAACACGGTGTTGACGGGGTTGTTTCCTCCGGCTGTGCGGGGCGTGGCGTCGTCGGCTGGTCCTGGGCAGGAGCGCATGGATGTCCCTGTTGGGCCATTGGGCGATGGGCTTATGGTTCCCTCGGTGGAGGGCTGGAGCGACGACTTTGCGGTTTCGGAAGAGGAGCTGAGTGCGGCAGTTAAGCGAATGATGGGCAAGAATGCAGCCCCGGGTCCTAGTGGGATTCCCTCGAGGGCTTGGGGTGCCGCTGTTGAGATAGAAGGTCTTTTGAGAGCCCTTTTTACCGAGTGTCTCAGGCGCGGTCGCTTTCCCTCTAGATGGAAGTCGGCCAAGCTTGTTTTGTTGAGGAAGCCTGGCAAGCCGGACGACGAGCCTTCTGGTTATCGCCCGATCTGCCTCATCGACGACGAGGCGAAGCTGTTTGAGCGAATCGTCGCGAGTAGGGTGAATAGTCACCTGCACGGGAGAGGCCCTAACCTTAACGCGCGGCAGTTTGGTTTTCGGAGAGGAAGAAGTACAATGGATGCGATTGTATCAGTCAGGTCATTCCTGACGGAGGCCTTCGGGGAGGGTAACGTCGCGCTGGGCATTTCCATCGACATAAGTAATGCCTTCAATTCATTACCGTGGGAGGTAATTGAGGACTCGCTGCGCTCGCATAGGATCCCGCTTTATTTGAGGAAGATTATCGCGAATTATCTTTGCGACAGGTGCCTAACGTTCTCCACAGAAACGGAGAGTGGGGCAACGAGAGTGGTCAGCAGGGGGGTTCCACAGGGTTCTATATTGGGTCCTCTACTGTGGAACCTCGGCTTCGACAGCGTCATGTCCTTGGAGGATGTCCCGGAGGGCTGTTCTGTTGTGTGCTACGCCGACGACACCATGGTGTTGGCTGCCGCTGGCGACTGGGACGAGGTTTGCATCTTGGCGCAGGAGGCGGTGGACTGTGTGGTTCAACACATCGCGTCTCTGGGAATGGCGGTGTCCCCCTCGAAGACGGAGGTGGTTGCATTCTTCGATAGGGGAAGGGCTCCTAATGTGTCGATAAGGATCGGGGATGTCGACATCCGTTCGGGTCCGCACATGAAGTACCTGGGAGTTACACTGGACAGCAAGTGGCGTTTCGGGTACCACTTCAGGCTGTTAGCACCGCGACTGGAGTCCATTGCGCTCAATCTGAGCAGGCTCCTGCCCAATCTCGGAGGTCCAGGAGGCAGGGTGAGAAGGTTGTATGCTCTCGTGGTTAATTCGGTGGCGCTTTATGGTTCCCCGATATGGGTGGATGAACTTAAGCGAAACAAAGTGGCGTTGCGTATACTAAGATCCGTTCAGAGGAGGATAGCGGGTAGGTCGATCAGGGCTTACCGAACGGTCGCTTACGCGGCCTGCACAGTGTTGGCGGGTATGCCGCCGTTCGAGTTGGCTGCCGAGATGTACAGAGAGATTTACGAGGAGGTATCGGATCGCAAGTCCCGGCTGTCTGAGGGAGTGGCTCTTCCGCCCGAGGACGTTAATCTGATCAGGGTTAACGCGAGAATGTCTTTGGTAGAGGAGTGGAAGGAGTGGCTCCTCTGGCCTTCTCATGGAGGTGGTTCAATATTGAGGATTTTGGCCGATAATCTGGAGGATTGGCTGGAGGCTCGCGTTGGTCTGACGTTTCACGTGACCCAGATAATTACTGGACACGGATGCTTCGGGGACTATTTGTTTCGCATCAAGAGGGAGGCGAGCTCTAGATGTTGGCATTGCACGGCGCCTAGGGACACGGCGGCCCACACCCTGGCTGATTGCCCTGCGTGGGAGATGGAAAGACGTGAGCTAACGGCGGTCATGGGCGCGGATTTGTCCATGCTGGCGGTTGTCAAAGCTCTCATTACGAAGGAGGGCAGGGATGCTGTCATCAAGTTCTGCGGAGCTGTGATGAGGCAGAAGGAAGCGGCGGAAAGGGCGCGTGAAGGTATTGGATAACGTTCGTTTTGTGTATATCTGGTGGAAGGAGCGTTACTGCGAATTGTGTATATTATATCTATTGTATAGGATGTCTGTGCGTGCTTGCATGTGCTTTAGCGTAGGGATTCGACGCACCGATTAGCGGGGTGTCGCGATGGGTGTGGCCTTGGGGACATGTTTCCCTCTCGGCATTGGTAGTTCGGCGGCCCGCACTGTCTGTGTGCAGGACGGTGCCTGTCGATTAGGATAGGGTTGCGCGCGTGATGTGTGCGTGTGTTTGGATGGGAGAGTGACTCGCCCTCTCCATCTTTAGTATTGGGCGAGTTCGATTCCCAGTGGCACCTCGAGGCGTCGGACGGGGGTCTGACGTCTCGTAGGGGGTGCCAATGGAAGGTGTCGAGGGGTGGGATCCCTCAGCACAGCAGGGCAAGGCGTTGCCTCGGCGACCAGCGAGGGGGAAGCCCGGTAGTAATAATTATGAGAGCCCGGGTTTCCCCTCCGTTCGCTGGGCTAGGTTCCCCGTGTGGTTTTAGTGGGTATGCCCCGATCGGCTAGGTCGGGGAGAGTCCCACATAACCCGTCGCTCTCCCCCGAGAGAGGCGGGTATGCGTAATGCATTTCCACACGTTAAAAAAAAAAAAAAAAAGGTTCCCCTGAGGTGGGTGCGGCCTTGTCGTGGCTCAGGGGCTCACCCCGGGGTCCGTAAAGGGCCCCGAGGTGCTAACAGCACCCAGTACGGCGCTTCCCGTTAGATAGGGAGGTGCTGTACCATGGGGGGATCTATCCCCTCGGTGGAGGTCATTCCCTGGGATGAGAAGTCTGCCGTCGTTCGTTCGGGTTTAGGCCCATCATCGGATCGGGCGACGGTGGATTTTGCGAGAGAGTTTGGTTGTCCGTGGATGTGACGGGCGATTGCTGCTGTGTGGGAGGATGTTGTGTCTTTGGTGTGTTCCTCGTGACGGTGTGCTGATGGCTCATGGTGTGGGTATGTGTATTTTTTGGGGGTCTTGATATTACCTGGGAGCCTTGGTGATTATGACAGGTGTCTCCCCCCTGCACATTCGGGCGTATGCCCACCATCGGTTTGTGCAGGAGGGGGGGCATGGTTTTGGGGAATTTGGTGTGATCCTCGTGACGGCGTACTGGTGTGCCGCCTTTATCATGGGACTATGTTGGTGGCTGCGTTTGTCCATTTGCGTAGGTATTTGTGCTTGGGGGTCGCGATGTTTTCGGCGAGCGTTGGTGACTACGCGAGGTGTCTCCCCTCTGCGCATTCGGGCTTATGCCCATCTGTGCGGGGGGGTGCATGGTTTCGGGGGGATCGTGCGGGATTACCCTTGGTGGAGGCTAAGTGGTTGTGGTGTTTTTTGACGGGTCTTTGCGGCCGACTGGACGTTTCTGGTGCTGGGTGCATGGTCCTGGGTCCCTTGGTCTTGCTGGGGGCGGGGGTGGGTGCGTCGGGGGGGCCTTATCTGCCCCGCGCGGCAGAGAGCGCTGTTATGAGGCGCGCTCTCGGCGTGCCTGCCTTCGGCCCCTGGGGAGGTCGGGGGATGACGGTGGTCTTGTGGATGCTCGGTCCTCTCGCGACAGCGTCCCTTCCGAAGCGGGGGACTGGGTGGCGCGTGCAATGCTGGTTGCCATGGCGAGGAGGGTGCGGAGGGGGCGCCGCCTTCGTTGCCCGAGTCGTCCATGGGGCCCCCTGGGTGGCTCCACCTGTATCGGTGCCTTTCGTGTCGGAGCGGGGGGACCCCTGAAAACTCCAGGCATTGCACTACAGCCTGGATGAGTAGGGGGCTGGAGTCCAGTGTCCCTGATGATTATGCCGGGGACCAGTGGCATAGCGCCTCTTCCCGGGGGAACTCGGGGCCTCGCCTGGAGACAGGCGGGGAGGGTATAC